AATTATATTCCATCAATGTCCAAGAGTTTCTACTTCTCAACATCTTTGCCAATACTTAGTATTTCTTCATTGTTTATTTTTATTTGCATTTTCATAACGAGAAAGCTTGAAAAATTTTCCATATTTATTGCTCATTTTAGCTTCTCTTATATAATTCTCTGCCTATTTTGCTGCAGGGTAACTGTTTTATATATTCTGCATACTAATCTTTCTTTGGCTATGTGCATTGAAAACATCTTCTCCCATCTGCTTATAGCTTATCTTCTCACACTGTTATATCTGGGGTTAAAATGAAGTTTTCAATTTTAATGCAGTTCAACTTAGCAATCCTTTAATGATCTGTGCTTTTCGTATCTTAAAAAATCCATTCTCATACTTAGAACATAAATATATTCTATATTTCTCCTAGAGCTTTAATGATTTGCTTTCCTAATTAGGTCTCTAACTCGCAGTTAATTCACATATATAACCCAATTCTCTCTTTTCCATTTTCCCCACCACTGCTCTGTAATGTCCCTGCAGAGACAGATCAAATTTCCATATATGCATGGGTCTGTTTCAGGAAGTTCTACTCCATTTCATTAGGCACTTAATCTATTCCTGTCCTAAGACTGTGTTTGATATCTGAAGACTACCATCTTAGTCTCCTTCAAAATTGTCTGATATTCCTGGCACTTTGCTATTACATATGAACTTTTAAGTCAAGTTAAAAAAAAAAACCCTGTTGGTATTTGATTAAAACTGCATTAAATTTATAGACTAATTTGGAAAGAATTGACTTATGATACCAAGTTTTCTCCCCCAGAGAAGATTTGCATTTGTTTTTGCAGGTACCTGGCAGTACTATCAACCTGGATCCAATTTAAAACTGTTGGCTACATGGTTTTGAATGTGTGAACTTGGGTGCCACACATGCATGAAGACTGACTTGCAGTTAGACACTCACTGAGGAGATTTTCTGACGCCCGTCTACCAATGTCATGGTCTACATGAACAAGGTGGTATATTTCCAGATCACCTTTATGCTGTAAGTATAGCTCTTTGGAGTCCCAGCCTTATGCAGAGTTTTTTACTAGACTCCTCATTTTCAACTGGCCATAGAATTAAGTCTCCTGTCCACTATAACTAAGTCTCCTGTCCACTATAACTCCTTACACATACTGAAACATAAGCTCAAGGTCACCTGCACTTGGCTGATGCCTCCAGGGTAAAAGCTAGCTGAATACCTATTTACTACTTTGCATTCTAGCATCTACTTCATTTTTGGCCCTAGGATTCCTTTCTTTCTTATCAGTTCAATTACATATTTTTAAAAATATGTTAAAAATCTTATCCTGCATTTCTATTTTCAGGTGAAAGATTGTCCAGTATAGTTTAAAATCTTCTGTAGCTTAATTTTTATCTGCTTGATTTACTAGTTTGGGATGGAAGTGTATTAAAATCTCTCACTATAATTATAGACTTGTAATTCCGTATCTGTTTTGTGCTTGTTTTTGTTGCTGTTGTTGTTTTTTTAAATATACAAATTTCAAAATGTATACAAAAGTTCTTCGTTATTATATTTATTAGTTGATTTTTCCTTTCATTAATATGTACTGTTGCACTTTATCCTTATTAAAGCCTTTAGTCTTCCATCTGTCAATGATGATAATCTATATTAGTTTTCCATTTTTGGGCAGTTTCAGTTTTGGTATCTCTACAATGAATATATAGATGATTTTGGTTTTTATTCAAATTGCTATCTCCGTGTCTTTTAATGAAAAGTATCAATTCATTTACACTTACTGTGAACTACTTATATACTGGGTCTATTTCTACTTCTTGTTTTCTACTTAGCATTCCTTTCCTTTGTTTTATTTATTTATAGCTGTCCCATCTTCCACTGAACTGATCATGTTTTCAATATTCCCTCTCCCCCCCTACTCATACTGCTTTGGAAGCTAGCTATACACTGAATGTCTACTATTTTAGTCACCTTTAATTTAGTACTTTTTCATTGTATATATTTAATTATATATTGTTCTAAAAGAGTCTGAAATTATTTCATATTTCTATCTTCTTCCTAAACATGACACGAATCTTACCATATTACACACAACCTATTTGTTGTTACTATCTAAAGCTACACTGTCCAGTTTGGTAGCCATTAGCTACATGTGGCTTTCCAATCCTTGGTATGTGGCCAGTATGAACTGGGTTGTGCCCTAAGTGTAAAACACTGGATTTTGAAAATTTAACATTAGAAAATGAAACTAAAATATCTCAATAATTTTTTTTAATGATGACATGTTGAAATGATAATATTTTAGTTCCATTGGGATAAATAAAACATTACTAAAAATTAATTTCATGTTTTTTCCTTTTTAATGTGACTACCAGAAAATAAATCAAGACTTTAGTTTTAACTTTGTTTTAAATGTATTGCCCCCAAACCTAAATTATTATCTTTCTGCTAGTAATAATCAATAACATTTATCATTTCACCTAATTAAATTCTTAATTATGAAATAATAGTTTACCTGGATATGATATGGCATTGGACATTATTTTCCCTTAGTATTTAAGATACTACTTCAGAATCTCCTAACATCAATTGTTGCTGATAAGAAACCTTCTGTTATAATGTTGAATTATACCTCTGTAGGTAATCTGGCTTCTAACTTTGGTGGCTTTTAAGATTTTCTCTTTACCTTTGATATTCTGGTTTTACTACAACCTGTCAAAATGTAGATTTATCTTTATTTAACCTACTTGACATTCTAGAGTTTACTTTAGTTCAAGGATTCAGGACCTTCTTTAATGCTAAAAATTCTCTACCTTTGTGTCTTCAAAAATTAGTTCTCCACCAACCTTTGCATCTTCTTTTTCTGTAATTCTTATTATATACACACTGGAGGCTTCAATTAATCCTCCATGTATTTTAAGTACTCTTAGTATTTTTGAACCCATTAATTCTCTCATCAATGGTGTAAAGGATAAAATTTATCCCATCTTTAAGTTTTTTTATATACTAGCATATTTTTAATTTCTAAGAGTTGTAGTTGGTTCTTTTCCACAGTAATCTGCTCTTGTTTCAACTCTTTTGTTTCATAATTTCGAGTTCTTTAAATGGAAAGTATCAGTTAACTTATTTCTTTGAACATCCTAAAAATGCTTTGAAGTTTCTTCCAATCAATGGAATACTATGCAGCCGTTAAAAAGAATAAGATCATCCCATGGGTACTAATATGGAATGATCTCTAAATGTTATTAAATGGAAAAGCCGAAGTATATAATTGTGTGTATAGAATGCTACCATTTATATAAAAGTGTATGTATGTGTGTGTGTATATGCTTGTACATGCATAGACTATCTCAAAAAGGATAGCAAGAAACTGGTAATAGTGGTTGCCTCTGGGGAGGGGAACTGGGTGGCTAGGGGACAGAGGTGGGAGATAGACTTACTTTTCACTGTTTACCCTTTTGTACCTTTGAATTTTGTACCACGTGCATGTATTACCTAGTCAAAAAAAAATAAATAATTTATTTTTAAAAATAGTCTTTGTTGGACTACTCCATAAAATTAATTTCATCCAGAAAATATGCTTGTTTTAGTTGCTGAATTTGTTATGATATGAATATTAGATGTCTTCATGAGTTTTAGAATTTTGGTTATAGGCTTATTTTAAGAAAGGTTTTTAATCATTTTTTTCCTCTTTCCTATTTAATGGTTTTATCATTGCCCCAACTTGGATTTCTGAACCCCTAATCCATAGTTAGGCCTTATAATGACATTAAGGCCTTCAGTTTCATGATAATATTGGAGCTATCAGACATAAGCATTCAATCACTGACTCAGTAATGGCTTCATTCAATTCCTGGCCATGAGGTTGTGTCTTAATCAGCCAAAACCCATGGCTTCAGTAGTGAATAACTTTTTCCTTTTTTCAGCCTTTCACAAATGGGACAGGCATTCTAGCTAGTGCACTGTGTAGTAATTCTGACTCTGATTCCTGCCTCTTATGAAGCACTTTAGTATTTTTGATTCTTGACAGGAATTAAAATTACTACACATCAGTACCAGACTCAAAACCCAGTGGGCCTTTGGTTTCAGCCCTATAACAGCTTATGTCGATGTTCCATTTCTGGCCCACAAAAACATATATACTGTTTCAAAGACTGGCTATATCTTTTGTGCTATTTATTCTATTGTCCTACGTGTTTAGAGCATAGAGGTTACATCAAAATTCAGTACATTGCTGTAACTAGAAGTAATTTCCCAGTATCTTTTTTTTTAACATTAGAAGTAATTAGTAAAAAAGGAATATAATCTTACTACATAATGTTTAGAAAACAAAATTACTCATTTTCCATTCATTCTAATCCACCCCATGTTAGCATTGAAAAATATTTCCTTATCTTCTGCATGTCATATTTGTAACAATTTTTATCATGATTTTAACATATATTGTCCCAAGCATTTGTCCATGTTGATATGTAGTCCCTGTGACCATCATTTTAATGACTGCATATTAATCCACCAAGCTGTTCAACTGTTATTTACTTCCCACATTATTGAGAATTTAAGGTGCTTCCAACATGCTTTTAGAAAGTTCTCGGTGCAAATGTGTTCTTTCCCCTCAACAGTTTGGATTTGAGGGATGAAGGTGAGAGAGGCTTAGCAATGGGACTGCCATAATTCTACACAGATCATTAGCCCAAAGACATTGCAAGACTATCATAATACATGGCTGAGGTTCATAATGATGACTCTGATATATGAAGAGAAAAGGTAAAATCATATGTAAGTAAAAAAATGCATTTCAGAAAGATTCTAATCCAAAATGGTTAATATAGCAAGTTTTGTAATTAAAGGGATAAGATTCATAAGGGATAAAATTCACAAATCATAAATTCATATCTAGCACTGTTGGGCAAGAAATTACAAATTTTCATTAACTTCCAAATTAGAATATTTTGTGTCATACTAATAAACTTCATTATTTCACTAAAATACTAACCTGATATTATTTACACAGTCTTCATGAGCTTCAGAAAGTGTTTTTATGTGCTTTGAAGATATAGGGTCAAAAAGCAGAACTTCAGTCTGTTCACAAGCAACAGTCAGCACCGACCTGAAAGCAAAGGACACATTTAGTTTTCTAGCATTCTCTTATTATTGATATGCACACTTATAATTACACAAACTATAATGCCTCACTTCTTTCTACCCATGTTAAAAGCAAGTATTTGTAAGATTCAATCTTTTTTTTTTTTTTTAAGATTTTATTTATTCATTTGACAGAAAGCACAAGTAGGCAGAGCAGCACACAGATTGAGAGGGAAAGGCAGGCTCTCCACTGAGCAGGGAGCCTGATGCAGGACTTGATCCCAGGACCCTGGGATCATGACCTGAGCCCAAGGCAGTCACTTAACTGACTGAGCCACCCAGGTGCCCTGAAGCTATCTGTTCTTGACAACAGTAGGAAATGGACTCTCAAAATTATGGTGGAGCATAAACTGATACAGCTCAGGTTTGGAGAGTACCCGTATCTATCATGTGTATGCCTTTTGATATGTGTACCTTTTGACTCAGCAATTTTTTTCTGGGAATTTAATCTAAAGAAATAATCATTTATAAATACAAAGAAGCATATACAAAGATATACCTCACCATAATGAGAAATTGAAAGTGACCTAAATGTATGTGAGAGAAGGAATGATTGATCATTTAAGTCATGGTATGTAATACTCTGCAATATCATGCAATGTTTAAAAAGATAGGGATAGTTTCATATGGATATGAAAGAACTCCAAGATGTTTTTTAATTTTTTTTATTTTTTGGAGAGAGAGAAATAGAGTGCGTGTGTGAGAGAAAGCTGGGGGGTGGGGGTGGGGAGGAGCAGAGGAAGAGGGTGAGAGAGAGTCTCAAGCAGGCTCCATGCTCAACGTGAAGCCCAATACAGGGCTCGATCTCATAAGAAAGCAAAAGCAAGAGTCAGATGCCTAACCAACTGAGCCATCCTGGCACCCCCAAAACGTATTTTTAAATGAGGAAAGCTGGTTGTAAAAAACATGCACAGATGAGGCAACTTAGGAGAAAAAGTCATATACGACAAATTATATATTTCTTTTTTTTTTTTTTTGACAATATATATTTCTTTATCAGTATCTATTAAAATGTACTGAAAAGGGTTTGGCATATACACTACCAAACCAGCTGTAAACCAGTTAGTTACAATCAAACTTATATATCATGTCCTTTATGCTTTCTAGTATTGTCTCTTGCTTCAACACTTTCCCATTACAAAGCTATATTATTATAAACCTTTTATAAGCCACATTTTGATTTCTGAAAATCAACTGTTTTTTATTTTTAAGCCTTAGTTTTTTGTGGACACTGCTCTTTCAGATTCAGAGCTAGCAAATGAAATCCTGAGTCTTGAAACTGTAGGCCTTCCCAATTTATAGTTCCAATAACAAATGGAATTTGTTTATTTAAGATGAAAATAGTGAGACAGGATTTAAAAAAAAAATTTTTTTAACTTATCTCTATACCCAATGTGTGGCTCGAATTCACAACCCCAAGATCAAGAGTTACATGCTCTACCAACTGAGCCAACCAGGTGCCCCAAAATAGATTTTTTTCCTTTTTTTTTAAAGATGTTATTTATTTATTTATTTGACAGAGAGAGATAGTGAGAAGGGAGTCCGATGCAGGGCTCCATCCCACTACCCCAGAATCATGACCTGAGCCAAAGGAAGACACTAACGACTGAGCCACCCAGCACCCCCCAAGACAGAATTCTAAAAAGCCAAAAGTTTCTATTCAGAACAAACTTTTTAGATAAAGTGTGAGAGGGGAAAAATCTAAATTAAAGTATTTTCCATATTTAGTAGTCATGAAATTGTCCTTTAAAAGGTGTCTGCTCCGCATAAACCCTTTTTGGAAATATCTGGACTTCAAAACTTGAGTATCTGAGGATTTTTGTGCTAGTTGACCAGCATGAGTAAAAATTAGTATCCGTAATTTTAGAAGATAATAAACAGCCATCTCTTGTTGTTTCTCACAAGAGTTATGGAATGAACTTTACTCCTTTTTGTGCATAAAAGTGAATCAGGGGTGCCGCTGGCTCAGTCGGTTAAGTGTCCAACTCTTGTTTTCGGCTCAGGTCATAATCTCGGGGTTGTAAAATTTAAGTCCCACAGCAGGAGGAGCAGGGTCCTCTGTGCTGGGCATGGAGCCTGCTTAAGATTCTCTATCTCCCTCCTCCTCACCATCCTCTACTCTCTCCCTTTCTAAAACAATCAAACAAACAAAGTAAATGAATTAGTGATTCTGGGAGAGTCTTGTTAAGTAAGAGATGTATAAAACTGACAGTCATTTCTTTGTTTTAATACAATCTATTTTTGTACAAGGCCTGATTTGTAACTTTTTAAAATGAGTATCATTTGTCCCAATATCAAGCCTATACTTTTCTCATTGGTTTGAAATGTGACCTTGATCACATATGCTGTTTTTTTGGATGCTATATCCTATTCTATGCAATACCACCATACTATTTTAATTTCTAGAAGGTTTTATATATGTAAAGCAAGATGAACATTGCTTTATGAACATTTTTTCGGATGGCTAATATTATACTTTCTTAATGTTTTCTGAACATTGGGAGTGGGTTGGGGGGCTAATAGTATGCTTTGTCTTCTAAATGAATTTTAGATATGGCATGTCAGATCCTACCAAATAATCTTGTTCAGGGCCGCCTCAGTGACTCAGCTGGTTAAGCAACTGCCTTCAGCTCAGGTCATGATCTTAGAGTCCTGGGATCAAATCCCACATCGGGCTCCCAGCTCCATGGGGAGTCTGCTTCTCCCTCTGACCTTCTCCCCTCTCATTCTCTGTCTCACTCTCTCTCTCTCAAATAAATAAATAAAATCCTTAAAAAAATATCTTGTTCTTATTTTTACTGGGATGCACTGACTTTACAAATTTGGTAGAATTTATATCATTTAATATTGAATCATTCCATCAGTAACATGTCTACCTTCCCACATATTTGAGATTTTCATAGCATGAGTATCTTAGCAATTCTTGGACCTTTAAACATCCTTATACATTTCAAATCAACTTATCAAGTTATGAACACACACTCACATACAAATCCAGCTATGATTTTGAGACTATGATAAATCTATAGAAGAGTTTGCATAGGGAGCACCCAGGTGGCATAGTAGGTTAAGTGTCTTGACTCTGGCTCAGGTGGTGATCCCAGGACCCTGAGATCAAGCCCGACTGAGGCTCCCTGCTCACTGGGGAGTCTGTTTGTCCCTGTCCTTCTCCTTCTTCCCTCTGCCCATACCCCTATTTGTGCGCCTTTGGTCTCTCTCTCTCAAATAAACAAATTTTTTTTTTTAAGATTTTATTTGTTTATTTGACAGACAGAAATCACAAGTAGGCAGAGAGACAGGCAGAGAGAGGGGGAAGCAGGCTCCCCACTGACCAGAGAGCCCGATGCGGGGCTCGATCCCAGGACCCCAAGATCATGACCCGAGCTGGAGGCAGAGGCTTTAACCCACTGAGACACCCAGGCGCCCCGCAAATAAACAAAATCTTAAAAAAAAAAAAAAGTATGCATAGAATTGAGATCATTACAATAAAAAGTTTTTCAGTTTATGTACATGGTGTGTTTTCATATACCATGGAGATTTTCTCCATATGGGTCACGCCTATCTTCTTAGATTTATTCCTGGGTATCTGACACTTTTTTAATGCTTTTATTAATGTTCTTTTTAAAATTTTGCTTTCTTTGTTGTTGGTGTAAAAAATGCAAACTGGTTTTAAAATTATTTATCCATCAATCTTGCTATTTTAATACCTTATCAGTAGGTTATTTTAGGTCTTTTTTTTTTAAGATTTTATTCATTCATTTGACAGAGAGAGTAAGCGCAAGCACAGCAGGGGGAGCAGCAGGCAGGAGAAGGAGAAGCAGGCTCAAAGAGCAGGGAGCCTAAGGAGGGGCTCAAACCCAGGACTCTAGAATCCTGACCCCAGTTGAAGGTAGATGTCCAACAACCGAGCCACCCAAACACCATTATTTTAGATTTTCTCTGTCTATGATCATATTATCAACAAACAAATGCTTTTTTCTTTTTTAATACATTTTTTGTTACTACACTCGGTTAGAACTTTCAGTAAAATGTTAAATAGAAATGTTAATATTAGCAGGCACTCCTGTCATGCCTGATTTTCAAGAATACATTCACAGTTTCATCATTAAGTACAATGTTTGCTGTGCAGTTTGTTTTTCTTTTTTTGGGGGGGGTAGATTTCCATTACTGGATTAAGGAAGTTCTACTTCAAATTTGGTTTTTTTCAGTAATGTATTTTCAATTGCATAAAACAGTTTTCCAACATTTATTAAGATTACCCTATATTTTCCCTTCAATATGTTAATGTAGCTACTTACATTGTTTTATATTCTACATTTTTCATTTCTACCATATTGCTTAATTCAATTGGCTAAAATTGTGGGCTCACAATTCTTTTGCAGATGTTGGCCCTGCAATTTACTAACTGTCATAATTCTCCAATCCCTTCAAACATAAGCTTTTTATATCTTACATTAAATATTTTATATTTTTTCTAGCTTTTCTAATTATTCTCTGTTGAAGGGTTGGCCCAAACCATCTACTTTACAACTTCTGGAAAGCTACAATCTCTGCCTCTTGCATCTGAATATTGTTTGATTTATCTGACTATTGTTCAGAATGGTAATTCTGAATATTGTTTACTTGGGGATTCTTTTTTTTTTTTTTTTTTAAGACTTTATGTATTGAGAGAAATAGCACAAGTGAGTGGGGAGCAGTGCACAGGGGGAGGGACAAGCAGATTCAGCACTGAGAGAGCCAGAGGTGGGACTTGATTCCCCACAACCCGGAGACCACGACCCAAGCAGAAATCAAGAGTCGGGACACTCAACTGACTAAGCCACCCAGGTACCCTGGGGATTCTCTTGATCAGTATGTTTTTCGTTTTTGTCTTTTCAAAGACAAAATTTTCTCTGTTGAGTATTTGTATTGAAATTCTACTCTTTGTTACTGTATTTCTTTCCTTCTGCTTTCTTCAGACTTACT